CCAGAGCCCATGTTCCTTCTACCACGGCCCGGTGTGTCCTTTTCTGGAGTCCGCTCTGCACTCATGTCTTGAAGGCTGGGAAAAGTGCTTTCCTGATTTTGGGGTGGGGGGGTGTCACAGGTGCCACCCCAGTGCTGCAGTCACCACTCTGGGTCTCTCTCTCCACAGCCTTACGACAGTCTGCCTACCTCACAGACCTGCTTCTTCCAACTTCGGCTGCCCCCCTACTCTAGCCAGCTGGTCATGGCTGAGCGCCTGCGCTACGCCATCAACAACTGCCGCTCGATCGACATGGACAACTACATGCTCTCGAGGAATGTGGACAACGCCGAGGGCTCAGACACTGACTACTGACCGCGGGGGCCGCCGCCCCCACTTTCTCAGTAATGCTCACTTCCAATTTCATGTGGACACACTTTTATGGTAACTACATAGATGTTTAGGAACATAAACCGACATTATAAACAGTGGCCACATTTAGTTACTCTAAATGTAACAAAGAAATTAGATGTTTTTATTTTTCTGTGATTGTACAAAAAAAAAAAGACAAAGTGCTCTCAGTCAGGTTTTTCCCTCCACATTTTTGGTCACTTTTGATAAGTTTGCATGGAACCATTTTGGTGCATTTTTAGTTGGGAATGGTACATTTTTGTAAACCCACCCAGTGAACATGAAATTGTACATTGTGTATAATTGTTCATTAGAAAGGACAGTTTTACATGAATATTCATATATTTATTTTGTTTTAATTTGAATTGCCTGTGCAGGGTTCCTTATGCAGAGAAATAAAGCCGATTCAGGAACCAGAGTGTGGGCTTTTGTTGCCTCCAGTGGAGCTTTCAGGCTAGTGTCACTCTGACGGCACCTTGACCCCTCGGAAACTCCTTCACACGACAGTGAGCTTTGCTCAGAGACGACAGAGCAGCTTCTGGGGGTGGGAAGCCCCTACTTTCATCTCTTTTGCCACCCTGGTGTCCTGTGTGTTCCCTCACCCCAAGGCCCCGAATCACCCTTGGCCCATCCTCTCAGCAACCCCTTCCTCCTCCTCTAAAGCTGGTTTGAGTGTCTCATGCTAATAAGAGACTTTCCTGAGTAGCCCCAGGGTACCTAGTGTGGGATGCAGCTCTACCAGGCAAGGAGGAAGCTAAGCAGAGTAGCAGGATCCTAGCACTGCCTGGGAGGAAGCCACGGCGGGCTTGAAGAGCAGGGCGCTGTATGGCAGCGTGTCTCTGCTGGGAGGGTGCCAGCGTACAGACCCGACCTCCAGCCATTTAGTAGGCGCTCAGCAAGTACGAACAAGTGACCACGACAGTGAGTAGGTGAATGTGCAAATTAATATGAGAGCCAGTGAGCAGCTTTCTTATCCTCCAATGGTGGATGGGGAAGAGTTGTTCAAGGGGCTGGGGAAGGGGCTACGCTCTTAGTGCCTGAACCTAGCCCTTGAGGGCCCTGGGCAATGTGCACATTGGTTCAGGTGTGACAGTGTGTGTGTGGTTCTGGGAGGAAAGGCCGTCTTGAGAGCAGCTGTGATGGCTCTGGCTGCTGGGGGTGGGAAGATGAAGAGGGCAAGGCCTTTGGGTGGTTTGTCTTCATCTACAGCAAGTTCATGCCACAGGCTGCTTGCAGTGTACCTCACGGGTGGCTCAGGCTGACAGCCTGCTCAAGTGAGGTGCCAGGTGGAGAGTTTTGCAGGCAGTTGTTTTTCACAAGGAAGATAGAAAACAACTTTTCAAAGAGAAGTGGGAAGAAGGATACCGTTCTGTGGTACATAGATCTTTCCCAGTAAGAATGCTAGTAATACTTTGATGGAAAGAGGCTTCGTTTTATTGAAAAGAGGTTTATGTAGGGATTGGGTCTTGGAGGGAGGGACTACAGCTTCTGGGGGGCCAAGGGGCTCTGGACAAAGATGAACTTTTCATACTTGACGTGACAGCTCAGTCAGGTGAGGGGCCGGGGCCTCTGGGTGGGAGGGCACACTGCCCAGGCCTCTGGGCCAGGGGGGAACTGGGAGGAGAGAGGCCTCTGTGTGCTGCTGAGACCCTGGACAGTGCCGAGAGGGCTCCTCTAGAGCCTTCTGGACTGGTTCCTGGTAACAAGTTGGCTCTTCCCTCTTGCTGGGCTGGGCTGAGGGTGTGTTGAGCTGAAGAATACAACCCGCAGTCTCAGAAATTATTTTAAATAAGAGTAACACCTCAACCTTTGAGAGGCTCTGGCCTCTGCTGCCACATTTGGCTTTGGACTGAGGGACAGAGGTACCCCAGCAGGTTGGTGCTTATGGCTCCAGGCCCCACCTGTCAGGCCTCACGGACGGCTTCTTGGGAGGTCTGACCTGCAAGGAAAATCAACACAGGCACCTTGATTTTATAACAGATGCCATTTCTTACTGGAAAGCTGTCCTTTTTTTTTTTTTTTTTTTTCATTCTCTTTTAGAAGCCCTGGGAGACCGAGGGCGGTGTGAGTCTTTGGTCTGAGGGCTGAAAGGGCCCGGCACAGGTAGTTCATCTTCCCTGGTTCATTGTGAGCCCCTCTGTGGAGACTTGGGCAGGTTTTTTGTTTGCTGGATCATTCAGTTAAATATTTGTAGTTTTTATGATCCATGAATAGCCCCCAGAGAACTTGGACGCCGGCCTTTACAATGTAAGATGTCCCCGAGGCCCTGCCAAGTGCAGCTGTGTTCTGGGCCTCCCAGCTTTGGGGCCTTTGCCCAGCACTGCCCGTCAGATGGAATCTGTATCTGGTGAACTTAGTTTTTAGCAAAAAGCAAGTCCCAGGCACGGAATCTTGGAGTGGAGGAGTCCTAGAGCTAAGAGGTCAGGTGATCTTGCCCTCTACAGACCTTGAACCTGAAGTCAGGAGAGGGAACAGTCTGGATCACAGATGTGTCCAGCCAGGGCCCTGGCTTCCGGTCAGCACGCCCCTGACGACAGTGGACCCGAGAGAGCTGCGTCCCCCTCTGACGTCCAGCCTGTGCGGAAATGGGCCAGTGTGTCCCTGTAAGGTCACCGCATGCCCCCAGCAGGCTTCGCCTCCACCGGTAGACACTCCTTGAGGACCAGCTGGCACCAGCCTTCCACGGGGAGCCCCGTCCTGCCCAGTGGAGGCTCTGCACCCTCCCTGGCTGTCCCTCGAGGTGGCCATTGGCTGCCTCGGCCACAACAGAGGGAGAGGAGCATCCGGGGGCCAGGGAAGGTTTGTAGTCTGTTCTGATAGAGGCTGTGAGGACGCAGGTAACCTCCGGCCGTTTCCAGGGGGCTTGGAACACCGGCTCCATCTCCCCTGGCCTCCCGGGCGCCTCTTGGGCTTTCTGACTCTGCCGAACTGTGCCCGCGCTAGCACCCTCCCCACCGGGCCCGTGGGAGCTGGGGCCGGTCCTCAGGCTCGGCTCCGGCTCCGAGTCCTCCACCAGGCGCTCCTGGGTCACCCCCGGACGCACCCAGCTCGCTCCTTCCTGGGACCGAGCCCCACGGATGTGAGGACGCCCGCCTTCCCTACCGCAGCCTTCCAGGCCCTGCACACTCAGACATCACCTCACCGAGTGTCCCGTCTCAGAAACTAAGGGTCCGAGAGGTCATAACCCGTGGGCGTGATGCCCGGCAGGGCCGCAGGGCGCCCCGCTCCGCCCGTGAAGGGAACAGCACGTGCCAGGCGGTGGCGAGGAGGCCCCGGCCGCGCCTGCCCGCCCTCGGCTCAGGGCCCCGGAGTTCCAGCTCGAGAGACCGTGTGGGGCGCCACCGGCTTCGAAAGGGCTCTCGCGGGGGAGGGGCAGGGCGCCTGGGCTTACCCTGCGGGGGCTGAGCTCCGGCGGCCGCGGGGAGCAGTCCCACCGTCCGGGACCCCTGCAGGCCCGGAGCCCCGAGCCCCGAGCCCCGAGGCACAGACTCTCGGGGGAGTCCCCGCTGCCGTGCCCCAGGGCACACCTCACCTGGCGCCGGCGCGCCGCTGGGAACTCGGGCTGGTCAGGACTAATGAAAGCAAAGCCCCGGGTTACAGCAAACATGCGACCCCGGAAGCGGAGCTTTCTCCCAACGATGCCGCAGGCGGCCGGGGCTGGCCCTCCGCACACGGGGCCGTGCCGGGCCGTGCCGGGCCGTGCCGGGCCGAGGCCTTCCGAGCCCCCCGAGGGCCGGGCGGGCTCCCCCGGCCTTCACCTGGACGCCCCGCGCGGGCGCTGAGCAGCCGGTGAGGCGCCCGCGTCCCGGTTCCCAGCCTTCCCGCCGCTCGCCGCTCGCCGCACGGCTCTCCCCTCGGCCGCCAGCCACGCGGGGGCGCTCCCGCGCCTGCAGTTCTGCCCCCTCACCGCGAGGTTCCTCCCCGCCCCACCTCCCCCGGCAGCCGCCGCTTCGCCGCCGCTTCGCCCCCGCCCGGTGCGCCCCGGCCCCGCCGCAGCTCCTCTTCCTGCCGGGCATCCGCCGGCCCCTTGCTGGAAGGGAAGCTCCGTGACACCGGGCCCCTCCTTCTCCCTGCTGGTTCCCCAGCACGGGGCATCCGGGGAGTACAGGGTCACGATGCCCTTTCCCGGGGAAAGACCACCTGGCCTGAGGCGAGCGAGGGCCCGGGGCTCCCTGCCGTCCTCGCTCGGGTGCTCGCCGTGTCCCTGGGACCAGCGGCCGCCGGGCCCGAGCCCTGCGCTTCGGGGGCACGTCAGCGACCAAGCCCTGAAAGCGACGCGCAGGCGCTCCGGCGGGCAGGACCGAGCCGCCTCGTGGTCTCCCCACCAAAGGGCTTAACCAGGGCTGCTGCTTTGGTTTTCGAATCTTTACTCGGGCTTTTTCAAAGCATCTCTTCTGCCTCTGTGACGGGGGAACGGTCGAAGAGCGTAACTGTGAGGTTTACCTAAGAATCCCACGGGCCGGCGGATACTCCGGAGGTCGTGCGTGCGGTCGCCGCGGGGCACCGGGCAGCGGCGGGCGGGGCGGGGCGGGGCGGGGCGGCGCGGCCGGGGCGGCCGGGCGGCGGCTCACCCCACCCCCGGCAGCCCCGCCCCCGCCCAGCGGCCCCGCCCCCCCGGTGGGGTGCTCGGCCCCCGCGGGGGGCGCTGTCCCCGGGGCAGGAGGGCGTCGGGGACAGGTGCTGGTGCTTAGCGAGAGCTAGTCGAGGGCTCTCCCGGCACCCGGCTACCTAATCCCGCAGTCCCGTGCGCAAAACCAAAACGTGAGGTAGGCATTAGTGTCGCCATTTCGCAGACAGGAAAACGGAGGGTCAGAGACGTGGCGACAGTCTGGGAGGTGGAGGGGCCGGGGCCGGCACCCAGGCCGCTCCTTCCCCGCGGCCCTCGGCTGGCTCTCGCGCCCCGGCGCGGTGGGCCTAGCGCGGCAGCAGCTTGCGGAGCGCCGTGGCGGGCACGCTCGGGAGCTGGTCGGGGATCATGGCCGCGCTGTGCTCGGCCCGCAGCGCCAGGCGCGGGCACGCGGCACGCAGGCGGCGCAGGCCGGCCGCGCTCACGTTGCGGCAGAAGTCCACGTGCAGCGTCTGCAGCGCGCGCCCGTGCGCCGCCACGGCCGCCAGCGTGCGGTTAGTGACGCGCGCGCAGTTCTCCAGGCGCAGCGCGCGCAGGCGCGGGCAGCAGCGCAGCAGGCGAGCCAGGCAGTCGTCGGTGACGTGGCCGCAGCCGGAAAGCGTGACGGAAGCCAAGTTGGGGCACCTGCGGAGAGACGGTGGTGACGCCGGCCGGCGGCCGCCTGACAGCCCGTGCGCGCGGCGCGACTGCGCCCACTGTGGGCGAGGGACCGGGGACACGGGCTCAGCGAGTTTGAGGACCGAGCGTGCGGCGGCGCGGCCCGGAGCTGCCGGGGTCCCCGTGCCCTGTCGCCTGCTCCCCGCCTCTCCTTCCCCCGGCCCCGAGTCGGCGCGCTCCGCCTCCTGGGCCGCCCTGGGCCCGCTGTGGGCCGGGAGGACGCCGCCGCGATCTTTGCTTTTCTCGGGCTTGTGCGTGGGGGTGGGCGTGGGGGTGGGGGAGAGACGCGTGGCGACCACTGCGGGCAGCGGGGCTTGGGGCTGCGGCCCCGTGGCCAGGAGGGACCTCGGGGTTCCTGTGGGGGTTCGTGCGGGGCGGCCTAAGGACAGGCAGGGTCCAGCCCGTGAGCTGGGGCCGGCCCCGTGCTGGAGCCCTTTCTGCCCGGCTGACCGGCACAGTTAGGCGCGCCCACGGGGATGCGAGCCCGGAGGTCGGGAAGCCGCGTGGCCAGGACGGGGTCTGAGGTGGGCGCGGGCGGGGCCGCTCGCGCAGGAAGTCCGGAGGCCCCTTGGCCCCAGCCTCCCTAGCACCCGCTGCGGAAGATGCTCTCAAGCAAAGGGAGATCTGGCTGCTTTGCCGGTAACTTGCCTGTGACTCTGCTCTCTGACGCAGGACAAATGCCTGAACTGGGCTAGTCCTCTTTTGTCAAGTGGGGGAGATGGTTAGCTCTAGGGTGGTTATGACCATACGGTGTTTAAGCCCCAAAGGTGTTGAGTGGTCCCTTTTGCTCTAAGAACCTTTAGAATAATCCTGATGTAAATAAAGACACACCAGAGAGGGCAGCAGCTCCTTCCCTGCCATCCTTTGCTGTCTCCCATCTGTCCCTGCCCAGAGCTGATTGCTGGAAGAACCCAACTCAAGGGATATTGTCAGTATGTATTGTGGGCCAGTGCCACCGGGTCATTTAATCTGTTATTAGCCTGTGACATAGGTGATTTATCCCATTTTACAGGTGAAGAAATGAGGTTAAGAGTTTAACTGTCGGATCCAGGGTCCCATGGTTGGAGAGGAGCAGAACTGGGGGACTCAGCACAGAACCTTACCACCAAGCCCTTTGTTCTTTTTGTGACCCTGGGGCCCTTTGCTGCACCCAGAGGGTGACGTGAGAGGACCGCTCCACACCTTGCTGGTTTGGGAAATTAAGTTCTCTAGCAGCAAGGATGCGACAACTTCAGAGCAGGCTTGCCCCTCCCATACAAATCACTCCACTTGATTTCTGGGCCTTGCTAAGCCCCATCGAAGTGGCCTCGTCCCAGCAGGGCCCAACCCAGTCCATCTTGTTTTCTTCTGACTGCCTTTAAAAAAAAAAAAAAAAAAAGGCAAGGCGGGGCCACCACTCTGTTTCCTTCCACTCCTGTCACACTGCCAGCAAACGGCAGCTATTAAACCTGGGCAGCAGCAAACTGGCTGAGCCTAGTTTGAAAGCACTGAGAGGTGCTTTTCCTCAAAGGCAGGACAGGACTGGTCAACCTGGGCTCAGCGAGAGGCTGGCAGCGGAAGTCTGTGCTGAGCCTGGGCTGCCTTAGGCAGGAGGCTGGGACCGTGGAGGGTCGCCTGTGGCTTAGCCTCTGCCCGTGGTAGAGTTGACCAGTCACATACAGGATGCATTTGGGACATACTTAGACCAAAAAAATTATTTCATCTATTCAAAACTCAAATTTAACTGAGTGTCTTGAATTTTTATTTTCTAAAATCCGGCAATCCTAGACTGTGGGCAAATCACATGACCTCCTTGAGCTTTGATTTGCTCATTTCAAAAATTAGGCTAAAACCCTCCCTTAAGGGTACGGTGAGGTTAGTAATATTCTAATGAGGAAGCCATTCTTCAACATCACCACCCCTCCTCCTGGAGTCTGGCTTGGTTCGGCTAACCCGGAGCACCCTAACTCTCCTTCCTGAGCTGGGTTCCCCACGCCTTGTTGTTTGTTTGCTAGGGGAAGAGTAGAGGGGAAGCTGATTGCTGAATCCAGGACCTTTCCCCAGGGCCTGACCTTGAGAATCCAGGCCCAGCTGGACCCCCTGAGCTCTTAATGGCTGCCAGGAAGGACAGCTGCCCGAAGGACAGCGACAGCCAAAGGCCAGTCTTCCTGTTTGCCCCAGAAGCAGCTCCAGGACCTGTGAGGCTGAGGGGCAGCCCCCACGCGCACCCCCGGCACCACTGTGGACTTCTCTGGGACTGTGCCGGGGGTGGGCCTAGACCTACTGTCTTGGGCCTAGTTTGAGGCTCCCAACATGGAGCCGTCTTGGTCTGTAATTCGCTCTTCCCTGCCCCCACCCCACCCCCCAGAAGCCTCCTAGAGCTCTAGGAGCCAGACCGTGCAGAGCCCGTGCTGCTCAGGAGGTGGCCTACCTGTCGCACACCTGGGAGAGGAAATCATTGACTAGGCTCTCATGGCGGCTGCAGATGCTCCTCTGGAAGGCGCTCTTGAGCCAGTCCTCAATGCTGCACACCTGCACGCGGCTGGAGTACCAGCAGATGGAGAGGTTCTTGAGGGCCGGGCTCAGGAGGAAGTTGTCCTTCTTGAGTTCTATGAGGGAACGAAAGTGCAGCAGGGGCCAGAGTGTGGGGTCCTCGAACACGTCCTGGAGCTGGGGGCAGGTCCGGGCCAGGTTCTTCCTGCTGTCCTTGTCCAGGAAGGAGAAGAGGTGCAGCAGGCACTCCCGGTTGAGCTGGGTGATGTGCATGGTGTGTAGCAGCCACGCTGCCTGTGGCTGGAGCCTGGGGACCTGACCTGCCGCCGCCTCCTCCCCAGCTCTGGGCTGGTGGACATATATGGTTGAGGAATGGTGTTTATTTTTGGCTAACAACTGGTGCTGAAGCTCGGAGAACGGGGCCGGCGGGGGGGGGCGGGGGGTGGTTAGCCAGGATCCAGATATATGTGCAGCAGTCTGTGGCTCGGCTTATGTTCAGAGGAATTGAAAATCCTGGCAGAAAAGCAGCCTATTGAAGTTAAATAGCTTCCTTAAAAGGGATTTCTTCCCTTTTCGCTGACAGTGGTGCTTAGCAGAGAGCGCTTTTGCCTTTTCCCGAGGCATTTTCATTGAAGGTGGCTGGCCAGACCACCTGTCTGGGCCTGCAGTCTCCGCTCCCTGGGAGGAACCCGGATTATAAATTGGATCTGTCTTCACTCTCTGGTGTATCACTGGAGCCTCTGCTCCACTCCTGTGGGAGTCGTCGTCTGTGAAGAGCTAAGGGTGACCGCTGCACGTGCAGAGCTGGGCTGAAGCCATGGCTGAAGCCATGGGTGATGCCCCTTTCCCTGTGATCTCTGCGCATGCTGATGGTTTGAGGGCTGGGCTGACCTACCTTTGGACCCTGCTGCCCTCTGCCAGGCAAAGGGATTTCCTCGGCCTCCCCGCTGGCTCTCTTTCTACCCTGAGTTGTTTCACAAAGATCTGTCGTAAGTAGCTTACGTCTCCGAGGCCCTTCTGGGTGTCCGCACATAACATTTTAAGCTTAAGTTTCCTTGGCTTTACATCTTAACATTTTCCCAGTTATGTGCCATGCTGGAGCTTGTATTTCCCAAATGTCAGGATGGGTGAGGGAGCTCTTAGTACAAGACTGCTCGAAACGACTTTTTTTTTAAGTTTTTTTTCTTTTTAAAGATTTATTTATTCATGAGAGAGACACACAGAGAGGCGGAGAAGCAGGCTAGGCTCCCTGCAGGGAGCCCGACGCGGGACTCGATCTCCGGACCCGGGATCATGCCCTGAGCCAAAGGCAGGCACTCAACCACTAAGCCAACCGGGCGTCCCTGCTCGAAACAATTTTAGGCTGAAGTGTTTTAGGATCAGCTGGCCCTATAAGCCCGCCACACACCACCGTCTTGTGCGGGCCTGCAGTGCCGGCCGGAGCTGGGCAGGCTGCCTGGAGGGCTCATCCCCGCAGTCACGGCTTCCTCAGCGTCGGTTTTGTGATACTGCTCCACTCCAGGCCCACCCCAGAGCCTCCTGTAACTCTGCGGCTGTGAACTACGAGCTCTGCGCGCCGCCAGTCCTGTCATTGGGGGTGTGGAGGGGAAAGGCTGTGCGGTCTCTGGCACTGAGGGAACACCCCCCAAGTGGTTACGTTTGTTCATTCTCCCGTCTGATTGGAGTTGGAAGGAAGGGAACACTGTCCAGTTGTGTGAAGTAAGGCAGACGAAGCGGCTGTGTTGGACCCTCTTCTAGAACTAAGGCCTGGTTATTCCTGGCGCAGCTTGGCCTCTAAAAGCACAACGCAGCTAAGGAAACAGGAGCCATTCTCACCAGCTCCATCTGAGACACCCCTCTCTGCGGCCCCGTGAGCTTGGTCACCCCAGCACTGCCAAGGGGATGAAGGGGTGGCTTTTCTTAAAAACCGCCTAAGCAGGGGGACCCCCGGGTGGCTCAGCGGTTTAGCGCCACCTTCGGCCCAGGGCGTGGTCCTGGAGAACCTGGATCCAGTCCCGCATCGGGCTCCCTGCGTGGAGCCTGCTTCTCCCTCTGCCTGTGTCCTGCCTCTCTGTGTCTTTCATGAATAAATAAAATCTTTAAAGAACAAAAACAAAAACCGCCTAAGCCAAGAAACAGCTGCAGGACGCGCTTCTTAAGGGCAGGGTAACTAGCTACTGCTAATACCGCAGACCCCTCTTTAATGGTCCTGCACCACAGCCGACAGCCAGCGCCCTCCGGGCTCCTACTTACCCCGTCGGGAGGTCCGCCGCGGCACCTCGGTGGGCTTTCACAGGAAGCCCCATTCTCCCCACTTCTCCTCCCTAATCCTTTCCAAACCAGGACTTTCTAGTGTGCTGACCTCTGGAAATAGGCAGTTCTTTCAGCTTCTTGTAGGGCACTGGGAAGTCCCAGTGGAAGCTGCCAGACTGGCAGGGCTACCCCCCGAGCCTGGCCTGCGCACTGCTGCCCGGGGCGGGGGGTGGGAGGCACCCGGAATGCAGGGAGTGTCTGCGCTGCCCGGGTGGCATCGTCGAGCCGTGCTGCATGGGACTTGGAGGCCAAACGAGTAGCCTCTGTGTCCGAAGACTGGTAGGAGCAGGCAAGTAAGAGAGACCAATGAAGGGTGTGGACAGAGCGTGGTTGTTTCTGTTTGTAGGTCCCGCCGGGGGCAGAAAGGTCATATGTGGGAACCACTGAAAAGCAGTAATGTTAATTTTTAACAGTGGCACTTATTTGTCTGTCTTCCTTTAGAGGGTGACCAGTAGCCTTTGCTCAGAGCCCAAAAGTGGGTTCCTCCGGGTGAGGGCTAGCCGTGAAGGAGGCAGTGGATCTCATTTTATACAGCGAGCTGTCAGGAGAGGCAGGACGAGGTCACTCGGTTCTGCTCACGGGTCACTACCCCAGCGGCCCCCTACAGCACTAGGGCACCCCTTCCTGCCCCCACCCGCCCCTACAGGCTGCCTCAGCCCAGGCTCTTTACACCGGCAGCCCTGGAGGGTGAGGGTTCTGGAAGAACTTAGTACTGCGGACTGACCGGGCCTGTCGCCTGAGCAAGAACACCATCACCTACTTGACTTCCCTGAAAGGAGTTAAGAAATAATAGTCAAGAGGAAAGAGACCAGAACTTTAATGATACTTTCATCCATAGAAGAGTTCAGGTTGATGAAGCAGAAAAGGGATGTGATTACAACGTAAATGACATCAGTCACTTGCAGTTAAGCCTCTTGCATCATACAGACTAGGCTTCCATGGGAATGATCATGTCAGCCACAGCCAGCAGTGGGGGGGCGGGGGGCTGGAGCCCATCGGGTCCACACCCGAGAGACCCGTCACAGCACTGAGGGGCTGCGGGGACGTCGCTCTACCGCACGACCCCCCGCGTGCACAGTCCCATGGCTGCACTCTGGCCACCCAGACCCGGGCCCTGGCGGCAGGAACAGAGCCTGAGTTCCTGAGCCTTTTCCGGGCCCGACTGAAGAGGCCACTTCAGCAACAGAGTATGTGAGGGAGTTCAGGGACAGTGGGGATGAAGGTGGATGAAGTATGTCTAAATAAACGTATGTACAGGAAACCAATGAAAGAGCGGTTTGGCTTTTAAGAAATAAATATGTCCCCAACCCCAGAAACCAAGCTGCTGAGCAGGTTCCCCAGGTGAGACACATTTAACACTTAACCAGGGCCTGTACACTTTGTTTAATTCTATTACATATGTCATCACTAGACACTGAGTAGAATACAGTGGATAAGCAAAGGTTTCTCCACCATGGAGAGAGATTTGTGTTGCCACAAACTGTTTCTATCACCCACGTGTGTGGGAGGACTTCTGAGGAAGTTTCCTTGTTCCAGGGAGCCATGTGGCAGAGTGAGGCATTTCCTCCGCTTAAGGTCTCCATGCGAGAAGCCACACACACAGAGACGACATGGCATGAGGGGAAAGCCCTGAAGAGCACACAAAGATCAGCTTTTTAAAATAGGTGTGATAAGGCTACACAGTTAAATTTTTTAAATACAAATAGGCACATTTACATCACTGGTGTTCAAATGCACAATTCAAATGGATCCAATCACTTTTCCCAAGAGCCTTCATAATGTCTTTCAAACATTTCAGCTTAAGTAAAATCGAGCAATAAAAACGCTCCAGAAAATCAAAGGGGTGATGCGTCCATCTCTTAAGCCAGCAGTGCTGCCTGTCTGAGGACCACTCTCCCCAACAAAGTAGTCTGGCTGTCGCCGAGTTCCTTTTGGTATCAAAAGACCATCTTTCTCCACCAACATCAGCACTGTCCAAGGCTATGTTATATTGCCGAAGTCCTCCGGGCTGCCCATTCAGAGAGACGGGGTAAGTGCAAATGTTAGAAGTCACAGCTGTTTACCTTCTAAGTCAGAGAGGCTGGATTCCCAGAGATACTGAGCAGATCAAAGAAGTGCACATTCCAAGTTCAACTGCATGTGGTGTTAACGTATTAATAGATTAGGTCAAACTAATCTTTCACTTTTGTAGATCAAAAGGTTAAATAGCACAATTTCATATGGTTCAACCTAATATATTTAGTATTAACTGTTGTAAATATGTTTCCCTCTTAATTTCCTTCTAGACTCTAAGTTGTAAAGCCCAAACACCAAAGCTTTTCTCTCTGTCCCAAGAGAACTCTACATGCTGATGGAGCTGCCCTACCCCTAAGCGGTCCTATGCCACGGGTGGCTGCTGAGCACTTGAAATGTAGCTAGTGTGACTGAAGAACTGAGTTTTAAACTTAATTTTAATTAGAATGTAAATAACCACGTGTGACTAGCGACTGCCATACTGGATGGTACAAGTTTAGATGCAACTGCAGTTTGGTCCTGGTCATGTTAAAGTGTTCAGCAGCTGATTTCTGCTCTAAGAAAACACGAAATTTATCTAATGAATATTAGAATGGAAATGGAGCCATCTCTGCTCCTGCAGCTTCAAATATCTGACCCACAAGGACAGCCAGACTATTCATACACTTTTAAAAATTTTTTTCTTTTAATAGAAAAAACAGGATTACCAAAAAGTCTGGTTGGCCAGCTTAATCTGAAAGACATTCTGCCTCTCACACAACTTGTAGAGAAGTGAGAAGAAAATACCTGACTAGAACAAGAGATGCGCTGAAAATGGTGCACGGTACTACGCCATGGCCCTACTTGGAAGTGCGTTCTCCCTATAAATAAGTACTGCCACCACCCAGTGCCTGCCCACCAAATCAATAGACTGGCCTGAAATTTTGCAAAATCACAGTTACCTTCCTTACATGGAATTCTGGTTCCAAATTTCAATTTAAGTTAAATCTTAATAATGTTTGTACCTATTTTTCTTGAAAACAATTATAAAACAAAGACTCTTAAAAGCTCAAGAATACAAACTCTTCA